CTGTTTATCCTTTGTTGTCATCTCTAAGAAACCATTGCATAATTCAAGGTCATAATGAGTTAGGTATTTCTTACATTAAACTTTGGTTCACTGAGTCAATTTTTGTACACAGTGTGAAATAAAGAACAATTTCTTTTTTTTTTTTTTTACATTTACATCTAGGTTTTCCAGCATCATCAGTTAAAAGGTCTTTTTCCCCCAGTGAATGTTTTTGACAACCGCATCAAAAATCAATTGACCATAAACATATGGGCTAATTTCTTGATTTTCAATCCCACTCTACACCCATAGGGCTGTGTTTACCCTAAATCAGTATTACAGTGTGGACTAGTGTAGCTTTTATAGTTAAGTTTTGAGATCAGAAGTGGGAGTCATTCAACTTTATTATTTTTAAAAGGTTATTTTGGCAATTTTTGGTATCTTGAATTTCCATATGAATTTTGGAATGTCTGTCAATTTATGCAAGTGTCAGCTAGGATTTTAAGGTGAATTGCACTGAATCTATGTGGGGAAAATTACAATCTTAATATTAAGATTCCCAATCTTAACATTATTAAGATTCCCAATCCATAAACACAGTATATGTGCATTTAGGTCTTCTTTAAGTTCTTTCAACAATGCTTTATAATTTTCAAAAGTACAAGATTTGCATTTCTTTTGTTAAATTTATTCCTAAGTACCTTAGCCTTTGACATTACTAGAAATGGAACTATTTTCTTAATTTTAGTTATGGGCTTTGCTGAGCATCTTATATTATCTATTGATTTCAGAAACCTGCGATGGTATTTTTAAAAAGAATAATTATAAAAATTTACTGTAAGTATGAATACCCTGAGTCATTTAATTACCTACTAGAAGAGTGGGAATCAATCTGAACAAACACTGGTAGCTATCCACTTGGCTAAAATTATCACCTTGAAAATCAGAATCTAGATATTATCAGATAATTATAATCCCAATTCAGTCTCAAAAATGCAAGTACATTATTTACACACATACACACACAATTTCCTTAAAAATATATAAACAAAACCACTTTCAGTAAAACTTGAGGAAAACAATCGTATTGTGTTGAAATGCAAGCAGAAGTTCTTTGTCCTTGTAGAATTATCTTTCAGTTACTTTTTTTTTTTTTAAGATTTATTTATTTATCCATACAGAACTCAGGTACAGGCCAGAGGTGCAGGGGTGATGAAAGGAATCACCAGAGACAGAGTGGGGAGCAGAACAGGAATATCAACGAAGTACACTGCTGAGGGGTGGTCAGGAGAGGTCTGCCACACCATGTGGTCACCTCCCCGGCAGGTGGGAATCAACTCATGCGGAAGTGGCTTTAGCTTCTCAGTGCTGTGCTTTAACCTGCTGCGCCACCAGGGAGGGCCCTCAGTTACTTTTAATATAGAAACATTTTTCTTTGTCTCCTCTAAAACAGAATGTTTTCATTACAGTTTACAAACAATTAAATCTAGGCAGAAACTGAAATACTAAATTAATTTAAGCTTATCATTAAACTACTGTTATGGAAAATGAAGCATTCCACTTTAGCCAAAACTGTGCTTGTTGTATCAAATTACATCTTTTAAACATAATGATATTTGTATGAACACAGCAGTGGCTATTAGTATTTCAACATGGAAAACAGACTGTATTCTGTATGTAAAGCTTTTATACTTGCAGTCACCATTTGAAAATGCAATTTTGCTGTATTTAACCTCCATAAAAGGGAGAATAAAGGGAGAATAAGCACTACAAACATTCAGTTTAATTTTATAAAGTTCTGACATACAATATAAATCTGTAATATTTTAAGTAAAATTCAAAAACACTAACATCTCATTCAAGAAATAAGATCAAAAAATGTATAAAACAGAACTGAGAGGCCCTCCCTGGTGGCATAGCGAGTTAAAGCACAGCACTAAAAAGCTTAAGCCACTTCCGCATGAGTTCGATTCCTGCCTGCCCCGATTCTCACCACATGGTGAGGCAGACCTCTCCTGACCCACCCGCTGCTCCCCTCAGCATTGTACTTCGTCGATCTGCCAGTTCTGCTCCCTGCTCTGTCTCTGGTGAATCATCTCACCCTCCGCATCTCTGGCCTATACCCCAGTTCTGTATGAATAAATAAATAAATCTTTAGGAAAAAAAAAACAAAACACAGAACTGAGAAAGTAACCCTTCACTAAGTTAGAAAAGGAACTGCCCAAGTATCATAACAGATACTCTACCCTGCAAAACAAACCAATGAATCAAAAAATGGTGAGAACCGCTATAACTCAAGGTCACTATGAACACTGCTGAAAGCTGTACCCCATATAGAAGACAAGATATTTAGGGACTGAAATGTTCTCTATTTTTTAAGTCTTGAACCCTAGCAGAAGACATCCACCTAGCAAGGACTCTCTGTGGCTAGCTACAACTCTTCTAAAGAACTACTTGGTGGTGTTTGAAGAGTCAGAACAACTGAAATTCCAAATATTGGTGCCACTGGCTGAAATGATAACCCTGCAACATCAGTTATGTGTTAATGTGTAAAGTCATCAATATATAAAAATTTAAGTAGGTTGTGGAGCAGTCATCTAAAGATCTAAATAGTGATTTAAAAAATGGTCTCATTCTATGTTATTTAGATTTCTCTGACTTTACATGTGTGTGTGCACACACATGCACATATGTATTGAATGTTTTGACCCTATGTTTTTAGGGTGAGATGTTCAAAATCTGAATTGTAAAAAATAGCAGGCTTGCGGGTTAAAATGTAAAGAGCCTATCTGACGCTATTGTTATTAGAAAAATAGATAGACTTTATTTGACACAACATAAAACAATTATGTACTGATCACATATACTTATATTAAAGCATCTTAAGCTCAAGCTGCAGAAATTAAATATGATGGAAGTAATTTTTTTAATGTCAATATCACTCCTTTCATTTAATTGTATTGGGAGTTCAAAGTTTCTGTAAATCATGCTTAAAATAATACAGATCATTAGTATAAAATGATGTAAATTATTACTCATGGTAAATAATCCAAACTACTGACTACAGATATAACTTCAAATTTTTTATCAGAAGGACCAATCCATAAAAATTACATTTTACTTCTAGATACACCAACAAATTGGCCTATGATTTTCAGTGATTAATTTCTTTACTACTTCAATTAATTCTACATAGTAGAGCAAGAATATAGCCTCAAACTCTTACAGAAATTTGTGAAGCTATAACCACAAGGTATCCAGAGTTCCTTAGAAATAGGCACAATAAAAATCATGAGAGAGGAAACTGTCAACTGCTTATACTAACACCAAAAAACCCATTCCCAGGTAAATCACATCTACATAAAAAGAATGTCTTGTCTTCAAGTGAGACACACAAGAGAAATAAAAAGCATAGCAAGGCAAGATAAAAAGAAATGAAAATGATGTCTTAGTGCTGTCTACATCTTTAGAGCCTAACGGAAGAAGCACACTAAGACTTAAACATGATTCAAAATATGACAGCTGAAGTTATACCTACAGCTGTCAGTAAGGTTTAGAGAAACTGTTAAATTCTAAGCTATGGGCATAGGAAGGGCTAAATTCCTAAAGTATTTTAACTAAAGTCCAAGTTTTTACTGTCTAGCAGACAAAAATTTATCTGAGAAATGTAAATAAGATGAGAAAAGAAAAAATAAAAATTCAAACTTTACATAAGAATAAACAAGATTTGTATTTTAAAATGTGAGTTAAATGTTGTTATTCCTTTCCAGCCTATGCATGTTTAGGTGGTCTATGATTCCACTTTGAATTCATTTCTGTATTTGGTCCAAGGTAAGCGATGCGGTTTATGTCTTACGTTTGAAAATCACAGAAATGCCAGAGTCATTTTAGAAAATATTCTATTTTTTGTTGTGGAATTTCCTTGGCACCTCTGTTGAAGATCAGCTTACTATATTTGGGTCTCTGGATAATTTGCTTCAAATAAGAAAATGCTTTTCTCCTCGTTCCCCAAATTGAGGAGTACTATTATCTTTCAGTCAAGATTTAACAACAACAAAAAAGAAAACCACACAGCCAGAAGAAACCTTAGAAATCAGAATAACGAAGAAACCTTAGAAATCAGAATAACATATGTTAATAAATAGCTCATTTTCTACATTCATAAAATTTCTACCATTTAATTACTCAAGGAAAATGTCAGACTTTATGTTAAATAACAAAGTTATTTTTAGAATGACAAAAACAACAAAAAATGTCTTAAATTACCTTTCCCAATATTTTACTGGCATAACCACTAGGCTCGACCAATGATGTCTAATATTTAAAATGCTAGTATTAAATATAACATAACAAAGAATATCCCCTACCATTTTTCAAAGTAATATTGTTTTTAAACATTCTAGAACTATATAATTTATTTCTCTTTCATTTTGAGAAGGTGAAGATTCACTCATAAAGAACTTTTGAGGCAGACTACACATCTTACTTACATATTTGACCCATAAATTTAGACTAATGTTAAGTATTTAAATCAAAATGGTCGACTTTAGAGCTTTGCAAATATGAACCCATAATTTAAGTAATGCAATAACTTCAAAGTCACCAAAAAGTCCACATTTTTAAAAGACCTCCTAAATTTACTTTATAAGGTGACCTTTTCCACCTTTCAAGAAATAAGGCTAATCTGTCTCCTTTGTCATTCATTTCAAAATCCTTTCCCAGTTTAAGTAATGCATGTCCTCAAACCCTCCAGAACTTTTTTTTCAAATAAGGGTAACTGGTACAGAAAATGGAAGTGGGAAATACTAAAGAACCTGGGATTATCTCAACAGTGTGAGATATGAGAATCTATCAAAACACATATGTACTTCATACTTCAGCTGGATTTACAAATTTCCTTAATTAATCTACATTAATTGCCAACATAAATTCTAAATTATTCCCATTCAGACTCACAAGACAGTATGATATAAATAAAAGTTCATTGTGTTTATAACATAGAAAAGGGAAAAACATCTTACTAGAAATGATGCATTCAGCAAAAAGTGCACTTAGATATGATACTTGCAGAAAATTCTTCTTTTTCATAAAATGCAATTCCTTAGTAAAGAAAAAATATGAGTTAGTATTTGTTGGTGATGCAAAATAAAATTAACTATACTTTTCATTACAAATTCCAAAAGCCAAGCCTCTTCTAGCAGATAGCTGCACAAAAGCTTCTGAGTAATAGGCAAATAGGATTTTTTTTTTAAAAAAAGTCTTTTTGTTTGACTAACAAAAAAATGTTTTTAGTAAATTGAATATTTCTAATGTTACTAATTCATTTTTCTCCCAAGAAGTGTTACTTAATTCCAAGCAACCTTCACAAATTGGTTTCCTAGGTCCCATTCCCCCATCTTCTGTATCACACTGTACACTTTATTAATATTGTTTTTATAAAATAGTGGGAAAATGTTCACTGTATTTTAACTGTTATAGAAAATTGTCAGTGGATTAGTTATTGTACTGCCTTAAAACATTTTTCAAATACAATGTGTATACTTGTAACTTTACTATCTTTTAAAGGGAGAAATGGCAATAATGAAGGCATATTGCCAACCAGAATATAAAATTGAGCTATGTCAAAATTGCTTACTGGTGAACAGTAAGTAATGGATTGCTTAGAAACAGGCTGAAAAGTAAAAGATAATAAAAAGCCACCACTCTTCACCCTGACTGGCCAGGATCAATTATGATGTTAAGTTCAAATATTCGGAATTACATAGTTGAGTGATTCTATACATGGTTCAGTGATCCTACCAAGTCCCAAGTAAATCTTCCTTAACAAATGAAAATAATTTCTACACAGAAGCACCAACCTTGCTAACCTGAACAATATAAATTATCAAGACACTGTAATATTACATCTATTTAAAAGTGAACACTTCCTCTAGAGAAGGAAAAAAATCCATAAACTATTATTTTTATATTAGTATTAGAAGCTTGACTTTAAAGATAACATATATACTCACAAATAAGCCCCTTTTGCTAGGTCAAAAAGTTTGTTTTAAAATGTCATTTAAGCTTTTAACCAAATTATACTGAAATATAGAAAAGAAAAAAGCACTCAAATACAGTTTTCATAACTTCTAAAGTTTAGTAATTCAAAGTAAAACTATTTTTCACAGGTCCTCATTCTAAAAGAAGCTATTTTTAAATGTATTTTAACATTAGCTTTGTGTCAGTGTCACAGTAGGAATTAAAGCTAAGCAATATGGAAAATAACTCACTGTATGCAAACACAACAGTGATATCTATATTCTTATATCAAATTTATTCATCAATTCTCTAAGCAACTGCTACTGATGGCTTATATTTTATATATAATTCTCAAATGGTTTCTAAAAGATAGCATTATAAAAATCAAGTTTTTCTAGTTTTATAATAATCTATATTAAAACACCTTCAAAACATAAAGCCAAAACTAAAAGGTTAGTCCTGTAGTCAGTTATCAAGAAATACAATGAACCACCAAATGCTACTGCTTTTTTTTTGTCTTGGGAAAAGCTAGACAATCTGTGCCTACAATTTCTACCCCTCCCAAATCTAGCCCTAACAAAATCCTAATTGACCTACAACGTTGCTAGCCTGTTGAAACCACTGCCCTAACTGTCACACTGCCTGGAAACAGCCTGCTCTTTTGCCTCTGGTCTAGATCAACCCTCCAGTTCACTGAAATCTTCTGGGAGGCCATCCTCTGGATATATCTTCACCTACACCATCACTTACAGGGGAATAAGGAGAGCTTTTTAAGTATGAGTCTCCACTATTATACCACATGTTTTTTGAGAAGGAATTTTGTATTTTATTTTTATATTCCCAATGCCTATTCTAGTCAATATATGGCACAAAATTCAATATAATTCTTTCAGAAAATACATACTGAGCATTCTATACATTCTAGGCATTTTTCTATGTGAATTCCTCTCTATCCCTAACCTCACAAAGCTTACATTCTAGTAGGGAAGGACAATCAGAGTGAAAAAAGAATATGTAATATATATAGCAGATTAATTCAGAAGTTCCTTAATTAAGAAGAAAAAAAAAAGTGCTGGCATTGACATTGGGAGGGAAATGAAATGTAAGCAAAGGCATCCCAGAAAGGCCTACCTAAGGTGATAACAAGAACAAAACTGCAACAGCAACAGCAGTAGTAATATTTGAGTTATTTATCATATCTTAATTAGTACCCTAAATGCTTTTGAGTTATTAACTGATGTAGGTCAACAATAACCTATTATCCTCAGGAGGAAACAAATATTATTAAGTGACTTGCCAACATCACACAGGCAGTAAGTAAAGTGAAAAGCCAAAATTAGAACCCAGGCGCATCTTACATATATATATATATATATATATATATATAATATATATATTACATATTATGATATAATATAATCTATGGGTCAGAGGTGCGGAGATGGTGAGAGGCTTCACCAGAGACAGAGTGGGGAGCAGGCTAGGAAAATCAATGAAGTACACCGCTGAGGGGAGTAGCGGGCGGGTCAGGAGAGGTCTGCAGCACCAAGTGGGTCACCTCAGGGGTGGGGATCTAATTCATGCTGAAGCGGCTTTAACTTCTTAGTGTTGTGCAATGCACCACCAGGGAGGGCCCCCAGGCATATTTTTAACAGCACAGTTAATGCTTTTGTTGAATGAATTAAGTGGGAGAAGGGAAGAGGAATTAAGTAGACCAACTTAACTAAAATAGAATGTTAAAAAGATGCAATCATAAAAAGGTAGTAAAAGAGAAAAGGACAGAATAAAACAAGTTTTAAAAAACACAAGAAGGTGGGCTTAAATCCAAAGATATTCAATGTCCCAATTAACAAATAGAGAATATCAGGCCAGATTAAGAAAGATTGTCAAATTGATCAAGACACACACTTTAAATATAACAATACATGCAGGTTATACATGAAAAAGAACATACCATACAAACAGTAATGTTAAGAAGGCAAAAGTGCCTATATTAATCTCAGATAAAGTACAGGCGTAGGAATATTGCCAGGTACAAAGGAATATATATATCATAATGTTTAAAGCATAAGTTATCAGAAATATAAAATAGCCCTAAAGTTTCAAAACACATGAAACAAATACTAAAGGATAAATAGATAAATCTAAAACAGTAACTAAAGATTTCAATACTCCCTCACATTAATCAGTAAAATAAGTAAATAAAAAAATCTGTAAAGATACATAAAACCTACACATGTTCAGGTTGATGGAAACGAACATTATAATCAGCCTACGAATGCTCTTGACATCATCAACAGAGAGAAATATGTTGGATCATAAAATACGACAAATCTGTGAAAACTGAAAACACAAAGGAAAGAACAGTAACAGAACACATCATCTGACTACATATGGTAGAGCAAAAGAGTAAGAGAACTTGGAAATTTACAGCTTTTAAGTATTCAAATAATAAAGGCTAGAAAATAATAAAGGTTTAACATTAGTGCTCTTAATTAGCTTCCGCATTAAAAGCTGGGGGGGGGAAACATTAAAGGTTAGGAAATGATAAATAGAAACTGCTGAAATAGATGACAGAAATAATAGATAAAACAAATGAAAAGAAAAGCTAGTTGTTGAAAAGAATTCCTAGCTAGTAGTAAAGAAAGAAGAGAGAAGACACGAATTACCAGCACTGGAATTAAAATAGGACGTTTACTGCAGCCTTCTCACCCATTAAAAGCATAATAAGGTAATACTAAGTGCAATTTTATGACAATATAAAACAGACAAAACTCCCTGAAACATGCAATTACCAAAACTGACAGAAAAAGGAAGTCTGAATAAACAATCTAATAAGGAAATTGAATTCAAAATCAAAACACTTCCCCCAAAGAAAACGCCAGACATCCTAATGAGTTTTTCAAACAACTCAAGAAGATGTTAGTATCGGTCTTTCACAAACTCTTCTAGGAAACAAAGGAAAAGGAAACACTCTAGTTTTAACAATGTCAACATAACCCTAAAAAATTTCATACCAATATCACTTGTGATTATATAGATGCAAATATTATTAGTACCACAGATCAAATCCAGCAATAAGCAAAAAGGAAGACATCAGCACAAGACAGGGTTTTTCTCAAGAATGCAAGATCGATTTAGTATTCAAAGTTCACATGTAATTCACTACAAAGAGACACTAAAAAAGAGAAAAAAATAGCATTCACTTCCATAGATGAAGAGAAGTATCTATTCATTCATGAAGGACAGGGGGAACTTCTCAATTTAGGGGGACCTTCTCAAATTAGGATTAAGGAAAACTTTCTCAACCTAAAGGCATCTATGAAAGCCTACAGTTAACATCAACATGTAACAGAAAAAGACTGACTTCTTCCTTATGATTAGAAGGATGATTAGAAGGATGCCCATTCACATGTCTATTCACCATTTTACTGGAAGTCCTAAACAAGTACAATAATGAACAAAATAAATAAAAAATTAATAAACTATTAAATAAAAACAACACAAGTACAAATAATAATAAAGCAAAAAAAACAAGGTTTCCAGATTTAAAAGGAAAACATTAAAAAAAAAACAGCCTCTATTTTGTGTCTGACACGACAACATAAGTAGCAAACACCAAGGAATCTACAACAAAGTTAATGGAACTAAAAAAATGGATTCTGTAAGGATGTAGGATACAAGATCGACATTTTTTTAAGTTATATTTCTATGTACTTACTAGTAATGACAAGGCAAAAAATTATTTAAAAATACTACTCATATCAGCACCAAAAGTATGAAAGTATTCAAAGACAAACATTAACAATATACATGTAAAACTATTATCCTGAATACTAGAAAACACTGCTGAAAGAAACTAAACTCTCAATAAAGAAGAGATTAGTTACCATGTTCATGAGACACAAAACTGATAAATCATCATAAACATAGCTAAAAGAATTCTGAAAACAAAGGCTGGTGTATGTATGTTTTATAGAAGCGCGGGCGTGTGTGTGCGCCCGCAGAGGGATAAAACCACACAGGAAGCATTTCAACAAAATTAAAATCTTCTACTCTTCCAAAGACACCATTAAGGAAATA